GGTAAATATTTTACATAGATGATCTCATTTAGTAGCTCCCAGCCTCTAAAAAAAGATAAAGATGCCCAGGCTAGAATCTCATAATTATATGGCAAACACTATAATGGCAGTATGTGCTGGTTGCCATGGAAACACAGAGGAGGGACGCTCGACCCAGTTTAGGGAGGAGCAGAACACTGCATCTGGTCTCAAAGTGGTAATTACATGAAGAAGAGGAGGTTGGGACACCACAAGCAGAGGGAACATAAGCAGGGCATAGGAGTATGTATTTGTGTGGTGTATGTAGGGAATTATAAGCAGTTTTGATTTGCTAGAGCTAAAGATGTAGGTAGAGGTCAAGATTATGGAGTCACTAATCTGCCATATTTAGCCTTTGGGGGCATAAGCCATTGGATGGGGAAATACTGGCAAATATTACAGGGAGTGACATAAGCAATTTTTGAGTTTTAAAAATATCAACACAGCGGGTAGGTAATGATTGCAGAAAATGAGACTATAGAGGTAAATGAAGAGTTTATGGAACTCATCCAGGCAAGAGACGAGAAGGGAACATATCCTGATACTCTGGCATGCTACAGCAGTTCACGTGGAATTGCTAACTTAATGCAAAATATGCAAAGAAATTGAAGACTAAACAACCAAATTCTCAACTCTTAAACCATCTGACAGGGGAACAGTAAGAAATTTGAACTACAATGTTAAAATTAACCCAATTCTGCCTTATGTTGGAATTCTACATTCATAAAGAAGAAAAGAAGGAAATATTATAGTAAACCCTAAATTGTAGTCTAACTTTCTCATAGTTGGCCTTAATCAGTCATCACCAATGTTCATGGGTAAGAATTGACTGTTCAATGTAGGATGAAAGGCCTACATTTGGTGAAATAATGTGACTTGAGTTCCAGAAAAGAAAGGAAAATTCCATAGCTCTGCATCCAGGAGAATTAGGTGATGTTTTAAAAATATTCACATAGACATAAATTCTTACACATAAAATTTGTACTTACCTGTACACCACAGATAGAAAGCTGTTGGCAAGAATGAAGTACATGTACCAAGACAAGAAAGTACATGAGTAGGAAAACAGCATCCCCAGAATCATTTCCCATTGTAGGAAAGTAACTTAGGTTACTTCCTGAGACTGATAAAGAAAGATACCAGAAATGTAAATAATCATTGCCATTTATTTTCGATACCCAAAACCTTGTAAAGGCAAAATTTATTGTCTACAGACAAGAGCAGCTATAATTAATATGATGCAAAATTTTAAAAGAGCACTTTGACTAATGTCTTTGATTAATATCCACCATAAATTTTAATCCCTGCTTCCTTACAACTGAAAATAGAGAGTACACTCCAACTCAAGTTTACTCTTGTCTATATAACAAATCCAGTCGACTATAATTTAATACATATCTGACAGTTGAGATAGCTTAATTTTAAAGTAATAATAGAAATGTATTGAACATGAAAAATAGAATACTTCAGATAAAATTGCTTCATAAGTCATATATTACCCCCAAAGGAAGGGAAGGTTACTCAGTCTAGTAGGACTCATTCTAAATGGGAAACAGGAACAAGAATGAGGAGCAATCAGTTCCTTTTTCTTCCCTTCCCGTCGCTGCCACACTCTGTTTTAAACCACTGGATGTAGCCACTCGGTGAGCCTGAAGGTGCTGCCCCCTTGAGGGCAGAGATCAGTGGGCTATCAGGACAGTTCTGTCACTTTCATGCAGACACGTCCAGTGCCAACTACATTTCCTATAGAAATAATTCTACAACCACTGAGAAGTGAAGAATTGCCAGAAGAAGACACAGAAAAGGGTTATAGACTTCATTACTTAAATGATTTCCAAGATCATATCTTGGGTCTGTAAACCCACACATCAGACATATTCTTTGCCATTTCTCACCTTGTCCCATATAGTTTGTCAGTGTAGTAGTCCAACTCTGAAATGACATGAAAACTTTCAGTGGGAGTTTTAACTAGGGAAACTTTATTCACATTGCCATGAAAAGGCATTTTGACTTCCTCATACTATGGAATACTGACACCAAGAGAAGTTTTCTCTCTTCTATATTGTGATACAATCCAAAGCCAACTTGAGAGCATATTACGGGAACATCTCAAACTCATGGGCAAGACATAGTAATCCAAGTTGACTCCTTGGGTTTCCTTCTTAGCAAGCTGAGTAGGATTGAGCTCAGCCTATCTAGAGCAACCTACTTGAGTTGACTGATTACAGCTAGAGCCACAGAGAAAGGTCTATGGCCTTGCAGTGTAAAAGTAGACATTATTGTTATTATTGTTATGACTAAAAGGCCTGTGTGTAAAAAGAGTCTCTTTTCTCCTTTATTGGAAAGCTCTCTACTGAGACCTCAGCTGTGCTGAGATCTTCAACTGACCAGGTGGTATGTGCTACCACAAGAATCTGTGTAATCCAAAATCAAGTCGCAGGCACTTACCCTGACTTTTTGGCCAGGCTTACTCACAGTGCTTTTCTCTGCTGAGGTGAGACCAGAATTTACCTGTGAGGCTCGGAGCAGCTGGTGTCAGCTGAGGGCATCTGTGTGGCCAGCATTCGGTTGGAGCACCCTGAATACCTAGGCCTCCAGGGACTTTGCCTTGCTGAAGCTATATAGACTCTGCATGTTTGCTAAGGTCACCAACCCATACTTTTGTGGAGGCCCCTGCACAATATGCTAAATATCCAGTATGTCTAGCAGTGACTCTATGAAAACAGGTAGCCATTCATGTTTAGACAAGCCACCATGAGTGGCAACGATGCACCAAGTGGAAACCCGTGTGGCCACTGCCAAAGGCCTTTAGCCATATGCCCAAGTCAACAGTTAAAAACAACTATACAGTTTTTTTTTT